ATGGCAGCAGCTGAGTGGTGACACCACAGCACAAAACAGATGAAGGTGGCAGGGGATATTCGCACATTAAACCCTTAAACCAGGCTCTCCTGAAGTGTTGCCTCCTTGCCATTAAGGCTTTTTGTATTCTGAACATTAAGCTCTCTGTATTGCAGTGAAATCAGATGGCTGGGGGAATACATAGTTCTGTCTAGGTACTGCCTGAATCTGTTTAGACCCTGTTTTGTGACAGAATTCTTAAACAGACTTCCTACTGCTGCAGGTTTGGGTTTGTTTTGTTTTGTTTTGTTTTTCCCTTGCAATAGTCAAAACCTGCTTTCACCAGCAGTTCGTCTGAGCAGTTGCTCCCAGCTCACCAGAGTGCAGCCTACGTATGTATCAACAAATTTCTTCTCTGTGGTTATTTACAGTGTTAATAAATTAAACTGAAAAGCAGCACACAGTATAGTAAGCCATGTCTGGCATAAACTCCCACAGCATTTCAACAAAACAGCATAGACAAAAAAATCCTGAATAAAAAGTGTGACTATGTGGGATAGTTGTCCCTGTTTCAAAGAAGGCGCCACTCTACCGAAGGTGCCACTCTACCAGATGTAATAGTCACAGTAGAGTAGATGCTACACCTGCATTGTAACTCACTAAAAAGATGCAACACAGTATTGAAGGAAAGTCTTCGGTGATGTGAGAAGGTAGTTACGAAGCTCAGGTTTGTCAGCTCAAATGTCGTTTAGTGCGCCCCCCCCCCCTTTGAGCCTGACTCTGACAAGAAAAAGCAGCCAGAAAATAAAAAAGCAGCATAACAATGATACAAATGTTGAAAGCTGAAATGAAAACATTGCGAACTGGAATAGGATATGAGAAGGAATGTACTGAGCTAAACCTAGTAAAGCGCTTCAGTATGTATCTCACTTTAGTGGGATTATTTGTATGCCTGAAGATAAACTGAGGCCTAAATGATGCATCAGCGCTTTAAATACTGCTCAACTGCTCAGTATTGGCACATATACAAATGAAGGATTCCCCCCCACCCCCCAATCTGAGTCAAAAGGTTTCGGCAAGCTGCAAGAAGTTGTTGCAGAAGCGTTGATTTTTGCTGCCCCAGGCATGGAGACATGGGAAACCACCATTTGTTCTAGCAAGCCCGTGGAGCTCCATGGAACTGCAGGTGACTGGGCTGCAACAGGATCATGTGACAGTATCAAACTCTGTAAAATGCTACAGTTTGAGGAAGTAATTCACAAGAAAATAGGAAACCACACAGTCTTTTGAGTTTGCTGCAGTCTGCTCAAAAGCTTGTTAGCATTTGTAACTACTTTACTTGTGCTGATGAAGGACTAATAATGCCTTTAGTATCTTTTATATGGGTTATCCCTCACTTTGTTAGTATTTCAAGTTTTATTCTGAGAAGATATGCAGCAAGAGTTTATTTCAAATACAGAGAGTTGGTCTTCAGATCCAAAAAGAAAGATCTGCCAAGCTCATCTCTAAATAAAGTTTGTAAATGAGAGAAATTTGGAATAGGTCAACAGTTATCCAGCCCTTCCTCTGGAAAAATTCCTGTACACCCAGCCAGTTGACATTTATTGTTCAGCAGTAAAGGCAACACACTCCCACAGTGGGTATCTTCTGTAGAAGGCAAAACTTTTATTAAATGAACCAGATGTCACAAGTTAACATTTTGCAGCTATCTGAGAGATGGGGAATCGTACAACAGCTATAGGAGCAGTAGAGGAATATGCAAATTTGTCCCAGATACTGTAGTAAGCCAGGCAGCTCTGTAATAATAATTACTTTCAACTTGTCCTAACCATGAAAATCACTTGCATAGGATGTGCCTATTACTTGTTGTTCTGGAGCACTCTAACCAAAGGTCTTTGGTTATTTTGTACCAAAAGTGAGCCTACATCAGACAGAATTGCCATCAAGGTGTCAATCTGTTCCATAGCAAACAGCAAAACTCTCACTACTGTATCATTCGGTCAGGAAAAAAAAAGTCATTTAATAACTATGCCAGACAAGTTGACTATCAAGGAGGGTGTGCGTCACTTAAGAGCATTTGTCACCTGGTTTCTTCTTGCTTGTCTTCTCTATCATCGTCTCCACAATCATCGCTGTCTCTTCATACGTCTGAATTCTGTCATCTGAAAACTTCTCGATGGACTCCACCACCTCCACTTTCTCGTAACTCACGGAGCCAGGCAAGCCTTCTTCCCTGAACAAAAGGCCCTGCTTATCTTCTCGGTCATATTCTGTCTCTCGAAGGACTCCTGGCTCGGTTGGGCTTATCAGAGCAGGAGAAGGAACTGTCTCAGGCTCAGCAATGGCTGGATACTTTGTGATTTGCTCGATTTTTGCTCTTGTTTTTTTGCCCCATTCAATCATGTCTTCTTTCTCTTCCTCTTTTTGTATCTCTTGGTTCTGGCAGCTCTGGTATGGGCTCCACATCACCATCACTCACCACCTTCCCGTTGCTGACGGAAACTGTGATCCCTCCCACAGTTGGAATGGAGGGAGCCAGGACGCAAGGTTCTTCATAGCTTTCCTCCCCCGTTACCAGCACATAATGCTCTTTGGGATGCGCATCAGGTTTAGGCTCTGGTCTCTTGTAGACTCTTACCTTCTCCCTCACAATGTTACAGAATTTATCAAAGGCTTTACTTATCTGGGCTCCATCAGGTACGTCCTCTGGGCCCATTTCTTTTTCATCAAGTTCTAATCCTTCCTGCCCAGGTTCACATGTGACTGAGCCTTCGTACCTAAATTCTAGCTGATCTTGGTCAAAACCATCCAGAGTTCTTTCATACATTTTTTCAGTCGAGAGACCATCGGTTATGTCTTTAGACATCAGCTCCTTTTTCCTGGCAATTTTCTTTGTCAGAGCTTTTTGTCTGGCCTTTACACTGGCAATGTCTTGCATGGCCTGGGTGATATCTAGAGAAACAGCAAAACAAAGCAAACAAACAGTGCTGAACATAGTCATTGCAAATGCTAGAGCTGCCTCTCACCCTCACTGCAGCAGGTGGAGAGCTGAATGAAACAGCAAATGGGAATATAGCTTCCGCCAGCGCATTAAACAGCATCTTCTTTTGCATGAGTCCCCTTAGCCAAGAAACCATTTTGCATCTGTGGTCACCATTGCCATACACGGTGTGAGGGCAGGACAAACATCCGTGTAAGAGAGGCAGCTGCAAAAACATTCCCCTATCATCAGGCCTGCATTAATGCTCAGCAGGAGCGCTGAGCATCTGCTGCTGCAGTCAGGTGCAGCACCTTCCTCCCAGGCAGGGAGGGTTTGGCCCTGTTAACTAGATGAGAAACCTTGTATCCTAAGGCAGAGACTGAAGCCAGGTGCCTACAGTTAGAGGCACAGGCAGTAGGTCTAACTGGAAATAGAATCATAGAATCATAGAAGTTGGAAAACACCTCTAAGATCATCAAGTCCAACTATCAACCCAACAACACCATGCCTGCTAAACCATATCCTGAAGTGCAATATCTACATGTTTTTTGAACACCTCCAGGGATGGTGACTCCACCACTTCGCTGGGCAGCCTGTTCCAATCCCTGACCACTCTTTCAGCAAAGAAATTTTTCCTAATATCCAATCTAAACCTCCCCTGACGCAACTTGAGGACATTGCCTCTCGTCCTGTCGCTAGTTACTTGAGAGAAGAGACTGACACCTGCCTCACTACAACCTCCTTTCAGGTAGTTGTAGAGAGCAGTAAGGTCTCCCCTCAGCCTCCTCTTCTCCAGACTAAACAAACCCAGTTCCCTCAGCCACACCTCATAAGACTTGTTCTCTAGACCCCTCATCAGCCTCACTGCCCTTTTCTGGACATGCTCCAGCAACTCAATGTCTTTCTTGTAGTGAGGGGCCC